ACCGCCATCCACCATAACATAATTTTTTTTTTTAATTTGGCTTATAAAGTTTTAATTTCTGTATGATACATTATCAAAACGAAACGTCATTTTCATCCATTTTTTGGCGCTCAGATGTTTGTATTTAGTTCAAATTTAAGCATGATGCAGTCAATTTCTAATGGGATGATGATGTTTTATCACACCTTTAAAACCAAAAACTGTGCTAATTATATAATTATCAGTTTTGCATTTAAAAGTATAAAAGACAAACAATAAAGAATTATAAAAACCTATTTTACTTGACTGTATTAGTGTATGCTTGGTCATTATGGAGGGGGCTCTCGACCATCGCCTTTGGCATCACTAAACATACCTATTAATTCCTCACCATCTATATTGTGAAGCCTTGCACTAGCTGTCTCTTCTTATAATGTGTTTGTAATAGAAAGTGAAAAATATTTATTATATTGTCAATTTAAAACATATTCCAATGCAATAAAACTTGCAAAAGTCATTTTATATGAAATTCTTTATCAATAGAGCATAAACTTGTTATTGATTCTAAAATGTTTGGCTAAATCGATTTTCCAAAAAAATCAGACTGTCTGCAAAACGACCCTGCTGGATTGGATTTGCAAATTTGAACTGCTTGTATAACATTTTTCACAACCTGGATACTAACAACAGGATCAAAAGTTGCATGCTCTGATGTTGTTACATAAAACATTTTCATCCAGGGTCCAGTAAGAAGTTTTCCAAATACTGCTTGCGCATACATTTTTTTGATTGAGGTTACATTACAAAATGCTTCTCGAAGAGTTGCTTGCGAACTTTTACACTTTACTGTTTTAGTTGTAAGATATTGTTTAAATTCACTATAATGCTTTATCAGAATAAAACAAGTACAAAAAAGAACATGAAGGCGGTTTCCACGATACCTTGGAATGATACCTTGTGGTAATTTGTTATTGTCTAAAAAATTTATAAAACCTTGTGGATCACTTTTTACGTCTTTATATAACATTTTGTTTATAGCTAGAATAATCAAAGTTGCCATGCAGTCATTTCCATATAATTAACAACTCTCATTCTCTGGAGACTTTAATGCTAAACAAGATGATGTGGAAATTGTATTAAGAAGGTGCAAATGGCACTTTATTTCATTAAGATTTTTTCCCCAGGTTTCACAAACCTTGCTTACTGTAAAATGATTAGCAGCAGCTCTGTCAGACATTGTATTTGATATGTTTTAAATAATTGAATTACGAGATTAATTATAGTTACACATGTGAAAATCTAAATAAATAAAAGCCATACGATCAATGGCATTACATATATGGTTTTCATAATCATCAGCTTACATACTAATTGTTCTAAATTGTCTATAAAAAAAATCAACAAAACATAAGTATATAAGAATAAAACTATCAAAAACTTGTATGATTAGACTACATTCTACACAACAACATAGTATAATTACACAACAACATAGTATAATTAAAGGGATCCCAAACTCCCAACACATGTTGTGTTCATATTAAAGATAATGTTAAAAAAAATTGTTTGAACCAAATTTTTTTGATTAAAAATAAATAATGAATGCATACCGTGAAAAACAAATGTTGTTGTTTTTGCCGAAGCTCGTCTTCTCCATTTTTTTGAACTAATCGGAGTCTTCAAATTATGCGTCGTAATCTACAGACTTTGGCAATTCCTTTGAAGCGCGTTTAATTCATAAAAGTTTTAGTATTTGACGTCACGGTAGACTTTTAACAAAAGAAAAGTGTAATTATTAAAATTAGAAAAGAAAAATTAAACTAAGCTGCGTTTTTCTGCTGTAGTATTTTTTTAACATACAGCAAAACAAATTTATTTGTATTATTTTTCCAAACATCGCAAAAAAAAATTTTGTAAAAAGTAAAAACACAATTGCAATTAATTAATTGCAACACAAGTCGGCACTATAAATTTTGATTATAAGTTTACTGTTCAATATTTTATAACCATTAAATAAATTATCTTTATTTTATAGGAGCAACTTATTTTTTACAGATATCTTAAAAATTTTTAGATTTATATATCTTACTTATATTTCTTTAATTATTTAAATTAAAACAAATATTAAAGCTTTACTTACCAATCTCATGATTTTCATACGAGTATTTTACATTATATAGAACGTTTTATATACGGTCTCTTGTTTTTGCGCAAGAGAGCGCAGTATTATATATTCCGATTCTTAATTATTTTTTATTTAAACAATGGGAACTATTTTCTAACTTCTCTGGTTATTTTTACGCTATGACAATTTTTTGTTTTTCCGTCGAAAAAAAGTATTTGTTAACAATTACTTTCATAAACTGACAGTATTAATTAGAGATATTTAATGAACTGTTAACTTTTTTCATTATAAAATTTTTTGATCACGCTGATTTAATTTAAATTGCTAAATTTGCTGAATTGGATACGGATAAAAAGGAAATACCATTTTATTTTACATTTGATTTTTGATAATGAAATTTTTATAATGTCAGCAACTCCATACCAATTAGAACCTGTTAAGATTATGAAAAAAAAGTACAAGAATACACTAAGCAATACAGTTGACAGTAGTATCAGATATGAAAATTCGTGAAAAGATTTGTGAGATCCTGATTTTGCATTAAAAGTACAATTAATTGCAACACAAGTCGGCACTATAAATTTTGATTATAAGTTTACTGTTCAATATTTTATAACCATCAAATAAAAAACATGAAGTTTGTATATTTTTGCCCGTTTTATACAACTAATATTTAACAAAAATACGGAGAAATTATTATTAAATAACGCAATAATTAACACATTTATTTAAGGCAATAATTCAAGATAGATGGTAATTTAAATTGTTAAAATGTCATAACACGCATTAAAAAACATATTATATTTGGTATTTCCAAATTTGTGTCGTAATTGGCATTTGTCTCTTAACATGAAAAATTAAAAATTTTTAAAAACACAATTAACAAATACAAATTTTCAAGCAATTTTTCAAGCAATTAAACTTTTATTTCTCTCATCTTAAAAAAGAACGAGTGAAGCAAAAAAAAAATATATTCTATACAACTCTTACTCATTCAAAGTTTAATTGCGCGAAAATTTTCTTTCTCTTTTGTTCTACTCTTTTATAAAAAGAGCGCGCGATGAAATAAAAACTTTTCTTTTTTAACTTATAATTATAGTTTGTGATAGAAATAAATCAACAATGAGCAAAGCAACGAACAGATTAATCTGGAGCTATTTTGATATTTATGAAAATAATCAACATAAACAACATTACCAACAATAATTACCAAATAAACAACACAATCTCGCATAATTTTAGGGGCATTTTTTTTTTATTGCTTAGACGTTCTAAATAATAAGTAAATTTAGTTCAAGTTAATAATTATTAACTTGAACTAAATTTACTTATTATTTAGAACGTCTAAGCAATAAAAATAAAATGCCTTGTTTTACATTGATTATAATTAATGTAAAACAATTTTTGAGATAATAAATATTCATAATTTATAAACATTAAATATATGGCGCAATAACAATTTATAGTAACGAACCAGCATGAAATATTTAAGGTTTTTATTATCTTTTTACATATTAAAAGTAGAAAAATAAAAAACTAAACAAATAATCAAAAAAACTTCGACTAAAAATAAAAATATTTCTAGAGTTTCTTTTGTTAAAAGTCTACCGTGACGTCAAATACTAAAACTTTTATGAATTAAACGCGCTTCAAAGGAATTGCCAAAGTCTGTAGATTGCGACGCATAATTTGAAGACTCCGATTAGTTCAAAAAAATGGAGAAGACGAGCTTCGGCAAAAACAACAACATTTGTTTTTCGCGGTATGCATTCATTATTTATTTTTAATCAAAAAAATTTGGTTCAAACCTTTTTTTTTAACATTATCTTTAATATGAACACAACATGTGTTGGGAGTTTGGGATCCCTTTAACAACTTTTTTTGAATACTAAGAGTAAACACTAAACACTGATATAATAAATCATATAACAGAAGTATAACTAACTTATCCTCTCAAGAGCATCTTCATCTAAATAATAATTAAATAATTTTTATATTTACCAAATAATGTAAACATTTGCATATAATACCTCTATTGATCTTAGAAAAAAGTATAAATAACTATGTTAATGAATAGATTAAATAACTAACTGATGTTTTTGGCTTCCTCAACCCTCTTAGCATTTAAAACATACAACAAATGGTTTATTCATTTAAGTTAAATTCATTTAATTGTTTTCATTTATAGACTTAATTATTAAACATAATGTTTTAATAAACATAATATATGTAAAAGACTATTTGAGTAATCGAATTTTTTTAACCTATTAAATTATGTGTTGATATGTTACATATCAACATATAATTTAATAGGTTAAAATGCGTTTTGTATTCATATAATATATGAATACTAGACTCATTTTTATTTATAAAGACATTATAATTTGAAATAATAAAATATAACTAATATGCTAAAGTTAGTTAAGTATAAGTTAATACCCGTGCTGATTTCTGGCACAGGTATTTTTTTCCTAACAAATTTTATCTGTTTGAAAGATATTCTAAAGGAATTTCCTTTTATTTACAATTGTTAATTTAACGTGTTAATGAAGCAATTTGTCATAGTTAAAAAGTGCGAAGCATGATGCATACGACGTGAACTCTATTGTTAAATATGCAAAACTAATACATACTGCATTATTATTCAGTCTTCTTAGTACGTCATTACAGTTTAGAAAAATTATCCTAATGTCTTATAATAAACAACCATAAAAAAGGTTATTTTATGGTTGATTGATATGAAACATTAAATATTTGAAAAACTTTTCAGTATTTGGTTAAAAAAAATAAAATAAGAAAGCTTGGTATAAACTCAAAGGCAACACGTTATTATACTATTTTATTAAAACCTTTAACCCAAAGTTTACACTAGATGTAAAAAAGAAAAAATAGAAAAAAAAAAGAAAAGAGTGCTATGGACAAATTTTAAAACTAATCGTTATAAAAATATATTCTAGCAATGTTTTTATGTTTCATATGGTTATTTGTTACATATGGTATATATACTGTTCTTTTAACCCTGATGCATTTTTTGCTTGTAAAATTGTAAAACTAAGTATACACTCTATGTAAAATAAAGAATTGAATGTATATTTAAAAACCAGCATTTCTTATAACAAATAATTAAGGATAAACAGCAGACAACTGTTAGCTGTTTTTTTATAAAACAAGTAATTTCGAAAGCCACGATAGATAAGATAGTAATGTTCAATTTCTTCTAATGTAAGCTTTTTAGTTTCCGGTACAAAAAAATAAACAAATAATATACTCAGAAAAAATACCACACTTTTAAGCAAAAATAAGCCATTCAAATGATGTTCCAGCATTTGTTTAAATAAATAGTCCATTGGAATAAATAGTAGCCAAATAAATGATCTAACAATACCACCGAGAAGCCCACGAGCACGCGGCGGAAATATCTCCGAAACTATAATCCATGGTAATGATCCCCATATAAGGATAAAAGTTACAGCATATATGATAAGATATATTATTTTACCAATATTATTATTTATCAGACGGGGAAAAACAGCAAAGACAATGCTGAAAATAAACAGAATAGTGCTTCCAAATAAAAGAAGATATCTGCGATAGAATTTGTTAACTATATAGCATCCCACTATTGAAAGTATAAACTGTAAAGTAAAGCAAATTATAATAATATATTTTTTCTTGAAATACCCAAGCAAATCAGACAAATAAGTAATGTATCCAATTAGAATAAATTGATGAATTAAAAATAACGAGCTTCCAATAATGAGAGGTCGAAACAATCCTGATGAACGAAAATCATTTACAGATGCTATTTGCTGGTGAGCTAAAACAAACAAATAAATAAATAAATATAAATATATATATATATATATATATATATATATATATATATATATATATATATATATATATATATATATATATATATATATATATATATATATATATATATATCCCGGTGGGAAATGAGCTAGCGACTAGCTAGCGTTATAGCGATTTTCTAGCGATTTTTTATTTTCCTATTTTATTATTTCCTAATGTCTTTAACATCTTTAAAAATTCAATTTTTACTGTTGAGACTATTATAATTATGAGGATAATCGAACTTTAAACATTGCGATTTTGTAGCAATGTGTCGCTAACTACATATCATAACTTTGTTGCTAGCTACAAAACATCTACAAATCTATAGCTGATTGATAGCTACATATCAAATTTTTTTGGACAACGACTTTAATACGATATGACCGGGATATATATATATATATATATATATATATATATATATATATATATATATATATATATATATATATATATATATATATATATATATATATATATATATATATATATATATATATATATATATATATATATATATATATATATATATATATATATATATATATATATATATATATATATATATATATATATATATATATATATATATATATATATATATATTATTGCCCACTAATAATATTCCACCATGTTATTTTAGAATGAATATAAGTTTGGGATTAAATATTTTATAAACTAAAAATAATTTTTTTCTAAGTTTTTTTTTTTTATTGAAATAAATCAAATAACCCCATTATAAATTTATTATAAAACAATAAAAATTAATAAAAAAAAAAAAAAAAAGAAAATCTAAAATATTAAAATTAAAACAAGTGTTCATTTGTATAAAATGAACACTTATTAATGAACACAAAATAAACAAACCATAAAAACAAAAATAATAAACCTTAATAAAAAAAAATTTACAAAACATAAAAAAAAAGAATTAATGTTACGTTAAAAATCCTTTTGCTTTTAAGCATTCACATATTTGGCATGGAGCTAACTCAATTCTCAATTGAGATATACAATTCACATATATGGCATGGAGTTAACTCAATTTTCAATATGGCATGGAGTTAACTCAATTCTGAGTAATCTCTTTTGGAACACTGTTCAGTAATTTAGTTAGTTATTCTTTCAATTGGTCCAGACTTTTTAATTCAATTTTACCAAGAATGTGGTTTTATCCAGATCACAAACTTTCTATGTAATTAAGATCTTGACTATTAACAAGCCAAGAAATGGTTTTAATGTTGTTTTCTTCAAAAAATTTCTTGCAAATCTTAGCAGTATGGAGCATTGCCTTGCCAGAAGATTTCCATGTCTTCTGGATAAGTTTAAATAAAAAGCATTAAATAGTTATCCAATATGTATAAATATCTTGGAGTATCTAGCTTTCCATCAAATATTTTAAAACAACCGACACCTTTATAGTTCATGCTGGCCCAGATGCCTATACTACCACTACCATGTTGTGATCTATACGTAGAACAACTCGGTCCATTTTTTCATGAGGCCTTCTTCTCAGCATTACTTGGTTTTCCTTAGATCAACCTCAACGTTTACTTTATACCTGAAACGAATGTTATGCCACATGCTTATAGACCTAATTTTATGAGCTAAAAACTAGTTTTTTCTTGTTTTCTGATATTTTATCAATAAACGTGGTTTTTTGAAAGCAGCTTGCCACATGTAATTGTGTTTTTGTAGTACTCTTCTAATTGTTCGAGCGCTAGTAACAACATCAGAAACATTTTCCAATGAGATCAGTAGATGATAAACTTCTGTTTTTTTCACTATGCGAATAAGTAAACGTTCATTTCTTTTATTTGAAATGCTGAGTCTTCCAGGACATGGAAGATTTTGAATTGTATTGTATCTTTAATATCGGAAAATTATTCTGCAAAATGTGGCATGTGTTGTGTTAAAATGTTTTGCTCTTTTATACTCTTGTATGGTCGTCTTTAAGTTTCTATCATAAAATGTCAGTTTTAGGCTTTTTTTTAAAAAAATATATATTTTAAAGACCAGAAAAACATTTATTTTTTATTTTTTTTATTATTTGATGCACTGCCTTCCCCAACTAAAAGTCGATGTAGCAGCACTCCGTTACAAGTTAGGCTATTTGTCAGTTGATGTAGCAGCACTCCGTTGCGAGTCAAACTGTAAAATAGTCGATGGAGCAGATATTTTCAAAGCATATGGCTATTTATTAAAAAATAACAATCGCGCAAGTGTTACTAAAATAGTAACAATCATATCTAATGAAATTTAAGCACTGTACAACAAAGTGAGTATTTCTACCAATATAGACAGCAGCTTAGTTATTCACATAAAGAGGCTAACTGACAAAGTTCATGATCTTGGTAAATCTTCTGTAGGCAAGAAGTGCAAAATTTAAATCAAGTTTACAGATGTTAGACTAACTTTTCGATATTTATATGTGCTAGTGTTTTGATAATGGTGTGTGACTGCACAGTTGGTCAGAAATCATTTTACTTCTATTTAGTTGCTATGGATACTTATATTGCTTTGTTACCAGATAGTTTCCTTTGTTACTAGGGTTTCTGAACAATGTTAAACAATAACAGTAAAACAGCTGTTTTTTTACGAAAAAACAAAAACAGCAATTAGCTGTTTATTAAATGACTTTTTTTACGGTTTTTTTAATTGCAATTAAAGCGACAAAAATTGAAGACTTGAACATTTTTTATGCATTTGCATAAAGAATAAATTCTATTTCAATATTATAATGAGTTTTAACTGCATAAAATTTCACTCAAACCTGAAAATGTTCGAATTCTTTTATTCAAACACTTTTAGATAAAAGTTTTATTTATATTTTAAAAATTAGCTATTGCAAAAAAATTTTTTTTTTTTATAACAGTATAACAACACGTTAAGTAAAGCAATTTGAATGGTAATTTAATTTGATTTATTTTTCAATAACAATTTAATAAATAGTTTAAAATAAAGCATAATAAGTAACTTTAATAAAAAACTTTAGTTCAGTAGTTATCATTTCTTTTAAAAAAAACTAAGCACAGAGGCATGTACTAAGGAGTTTTCTATTTTAATAGTTCTTTTTTACTAATCAAGTACAAAAATTTCTTAAAGGTTTCTTTAGTTTTATAAATAGGGCTTGTAACACCAGTTTCTTATTTACATTGACATAAAAATAAGTGCATAGTTACTAGTTATAAATTAGTTTTTAACGGTGGGTAAAATGGCTATTTAATCTTCAAAACAAAACGGAAAAGTTCAATTACAAAAGAGTTTGAAGGAAAGTTTCAGCGTTGTAACAAAATAATAAAATGCTCAGGAAATTCTACAAGTTCCTTAAAAAATCCCTTAAAAAGTCACAGACTTTGTTTAGATAAGGATCAATCATACTAACAGATGAGAGAGCAAGAGAGAACAGACAAAAAACTGTTGGTGACTTCTTTGCGCAAAAGAAGCTTCAAATTATTGTTTCTGATTTAGCTACGGATGGCATTTCAGTTCGAGCTATAACCAGAAATAAATATATTCGCCAGTCAATAGCTCGAGATGGATTTAAACTCCCCGCTAACGAAAGTGATGTAATTAAACTTTTGCACAAAGATTTTAATGAAAATCAAAACAAACAAAAAAAATGACTGACACCATAAAATTAAAAGTAGCTAATAAAGTGAAGTTTAGCATGATTGTCGATGACGTTACTACTCTAAGAGGACGAAGATATTCTGGAGTTAATATTCAATAATTTACTTAAGAACTCACGCAAACTGATAAAATACATTAAACTGCCAAAGGTTAGAAATCAAGTTTTTCAATCAAAAGTCAAGACTTTACTTGGAAAAGAAATTGAACTTCATCTTGATGTAAAATCACAATAAAAATCGTTAAAACACAATACTAATAATGGTTGAGCTGTTGATAAAGACAGAGACGGCAATTCGATAAAATTTATTAGAATTTAAGGCAGATATAAGTTTAGCTAATAATGTAGACTTCGATGCTTAGAAAGGTTTACTAAAAGCATTGAAACCCATTAAACTTGCTATAGAAGAGAAGATGCAACTCTGTTGAGCGCTGACACGATTTTAGAATTAATGTTTGAGAAACTTTCTTTAGTTAACAGTGAAATTAGCAAAGTATTGATGAATAATTTAAGAATTAAAGTCGATGGACGTCTGAATACAGAAGTCATGAATTTATTACGCTGTCTAAAGAACTTTACAATAACTCCATCCAGAGATACGATAATTTTTTCAGGAATGATGGCATCTTGACTTTTTGGTGCTAATGACGTTAATATTATTGAAAAATTTCCAGTAATCCATCAGTTAAAATTTTAACTCTACAAGAGGAACTGATGTGTTGCTGAAGAAAAATGAATCACCAAAAGTGCCTTCTGGACAGGGCAATTTTAGGTGGTTAAAAGCTGAATTTACTCTTTTTAAAAATACAGGCTAGCGTGCAGAAAACTTACAAAAGCTTTATGATGCATTTTAACAATTAAGTCTGAATCTACGGATGTTGAAAGAGTATTCTCCGTGTGTGCCCGGTTTTGTACAAAAATAAGATCTCGACTTTCAGATAAGTCATTATCAGCTCTTGTATTTTTGAAATACTATTACAAAATATAAAGTTTATGTTAGGATATATAGTATTGAAAAATTTTTTACTCTTGCCTGCTTATGACAAGGAGGGTCGATGGGGTAATAAATGGGGAGGGCGTGCAAATTTTAAAAACAGTAAAACAGTTGTAAACAGCTGTTTTTGAAAATTATAAACACTAAAATAGCTGTTTTTTAAAAACCACTGTTTTTCAGAAACCCTATTTGTTACAAAGGGACAAATTGATTTTTGAATAAATCTTAGTGGATTTTCGACCCATCTGTTTTAAATAATAATTAAGTATTTAGGTAAGTAATGTTTTAGCAATAATAAAAACAAAAAACACTGCAAGAAAACATATTTAATTTTAAATTACATTAAAAATTTATAAAATAATAACATCATTTAAAGATTGTTTAAGTAGTTGTACAATTTCTGAAGGAAATGCTTTATAAATTGTTTGGGGAAATGTTGATTTACGCAGAGATGAAATAGTAGGATCTCTGGAAACTAAGAGCCTGTTAATCAGATCAGTATTTTTTGTTCTTCTGGATGTTTTTCTGCTATAATTTTGCGATAAGATTCGCGATAAGTCTTGATTTCTTGCCTCTGGCTAAAAAAGAAGTCAAGCAATTTTGCTTGATTGGGTTTTTTCTGGTATTTATCAGGACCAAAGGATATGGGAAATTGACAATTTTCCCATAAGGTTCCCAAAAAGTTAAAACTGATAATTAAAAATAACAATTCAAAAACTAACTCAATGGTAACCATTAATGAATCGTAAGTGCATCAAATTAATTTAAAAATTTAATTTATATGCATTATATTTTTTGAATACATTTTTTTTACATTATAATAAAAAAGAAATTGTTTTTTGATGTATTTTTTTCACTGTGAAACTTCATTAAAAAGACCTTGTTTTAAAACTTATCTATTTATTAACATTATAAAAAGGAATTTTTTATTTTTTTCTTAATAAATTTACAAAGTTTAACATATATGTTTAACATATGTTCCAGTAACTATTAAACATGTATTAACTTTTTCATTGAGACACTATTTGCATTTTTAAAATAATCAAAGTTTAAAATTTTGTTTCTGCTAGTGATGGTAATAACTGCTTTAAACTTGTTCAAAAAATTGTTTTTTCAAAAACATTCAAAAAAAAAATAAACATGAATGTAAACAAATATGAATATCTTTTTATGAATAGGTTTTATTTAAGTAATTTAAAGCTTTTAAATTGTTTTTACAGATTCTTTTCCATTTATTTTTCTATATTTTATGCCTGTAAAATGACTGTCGTTAACAAAGTTTACCCAATGTCAGATATATATATATATATATCAAGTATTTACAAACATGTATATATATATATATATATATATATATATATATATATATATATATATATATATATATATATATATATATATATATATATATATATATATATATATTGTATAAAATAAATTGATTTCCACAACTTTAAGTTTCATGCTATTGAAATCATAAAGTGAAATCCAAGATTAATTTTTTCGTTAAAACATTATATACTATTGGAACAATTTACGTTAAATTATACATAAAAAGCTAAACAGAAAAACTATTACTTCAAGCCCTTGTATTTAATCTTCATGTTGTGGTTGCTAAATGGAAACTTTTTTCCGTTACGACATTTGACAATCAACTTTTTAATCTTATTTAGTAGCTAATTGACATTTTTATAAAGTAAAATTATTAGTTTTTGAAAGGAACAAAGTTAACATTTTTTTCTTTGTGTTGTTGTAAGCAGTGGCTCTATTTGGGATAGAGCAATTTAATTTAGGTGTTTCTTTGAGTTTTTCCTTAGTTTTCCATATATATTTAGAGAGAGTGATTGGATTTTAAAGTTTTTTTTACGGTTAAATGGTTGCTTATGGTGTGCATATGCTTTCAAATGTATTAAACTTAGATTTAAATAAGTATAACCAAACGTCGTTAGCAATAATGGTTACATTTATACAAATAGATTAATTAATTAAAATAATTAAAAGTTTAAGTTACACATTCTAATATCTTGTGTAATACCTGTCTGCTCTCTCTATGTTACCTTTCTGACTCGACTTCCTCTGACTTTCAATCTAACTTACTTCATTCTAAATTATCTCACTCTTGGTCAGCGTAGCCGGTGATAAAGCTCTTTAGCGAGCTGAAGTTATTTTTGTGGGCCTGGGTATGTGACACACTTATGGCAATTAGCTGGACCACAAAAACCATGAAACTTAAAATTATCAAAATTAAATTTTATATTCTACTTAAATGTAGCTCTAACTCAGTTCATAGAGCATTTTTATCTTATTATTCAGTTCATTGAGCACTTTTTTATCTTATTATTCAGTTCATAGAGCACTTTTTTATGTTATTATTCAGTTCATAATGTACTTTTTATGTTATTATTCAGTTCATAGAGCATTTTTCTATCTTATTATTTAGTTCATAGAGCGTTTTTTATCTTATTATTCAGTTCATAGAGCATTTTTATCATAGAGCATAGAGCATTTTTATCTTATTATTCAGTTCATAGAGCATTTTTATTATTAATAAAAATATTAAATTAAAAAAAGTAAGGCATAGATTACTTAAAACAAAAAAAAAAATTGTTATAGTTTATATAGTTTTTACAACTACATAGTTTTAACAATATATACTTTTATTACAAATAGTTTTAACAATATATACTTTTCTTGCAAACACAATCAAAATGCTTCAAAATAAATGATATAATATTAAGATATATTTGATATACAAAGTAATAAAATAAGGTAAAACAGTTTTACAGTTTATATTTTGAAAAGACAAAATAAGTCTTAAAAAGGAAAAATAAACCTTTAGTTATGTAGTCTAGGGAAATTTGCAGAAAACTTTGTTAAGTCTTGTCATCAAGAACCCTTTTTTTTAAAAATAATTTCATGAGGTACTTAAGATACTAAAGCTAATATATTTAAGTTTTAGATTTTTTTTAAGACATTTTTATTATTTAAATAACTCATAAGATATTAAAAAATTCGTCTTAGATACTGCTTAGAAAAGCTCATCTTAAAAAACTCTAAGACAAATTTTTTTAAGATTAGCTTTTAAGGAATTTATATTTTTCAGGAAGGATATTTAGGAATTTTTTGGAATTAGTTTGTTATACAGGTAAGTTATGTTGTTATAAATCTTTTCATCTATAAAGATTCATATGATTTATTCTTTAGAAAAGTAATCGCAATTGTTTACAATATAGAAAGTTAAATATTCACTGTAACAATTGTACCAGATATTTATTATTATCCTAAGTTGATTTTGTTTTTGATCATTATCTTTTGTCAAGTATAAAATATGCAGAACATAATAGAGTATCAACAAAAAGCAAAGTTTTGGTCATTATATATAACAAAGATCGAAATAGATCTGTTTACGAAAAAAAAACAAAAATAAAACAAACAAAAAACACGTAAAATAATTGTCTTCTATGCATATGGTGAGCGAAATACATTCGATGTTTGTTTTACTTTATAGCTGAAGCTGTGAAGGTAAAAAAACCTTTTCAAAACAAACCAATGTTCTTGTTCTTAAGAAAGTTTGCGATGTTTAGATTTTTGCAAAAGTGCAAAAATAAGAAAAAAAAATTCAGGTGAAAACACTGAGACGGAAAGGTGACATTAAAAGCTAAAATGAAAATGACTACAATAATATGATTTTTTTAAAGATAATTTTTGAAAATTATATTATCTGTAAAATATTAAAATTTATTTTAGCAGTTAGTTTTCAACTGAGATTGTCATAAAAGTGAAAAAAAGTTTCAAGCATTACTTGTTTTAAACTATATAACATGTTAATATAACAAAAAAAGTCATAAAAGTATTTATGCAAACTAATTAAATTCTAACCTAAATTAATTTCAATGTTATTACATTCATCTTCGGCATCAGATTTAATACCAAAAAGCCACAACTGATTTTTAAATGCTTTCTCTCGTTGACCGTCAGCTAAAAGCCACCTTGGCGTTTCTGGCATAAACATTATTAAAAAGCTTAACAGAATCACAACTAACCCAACTATAGCAGAGTAGTAGTATTTTATGGTCCAATCAGATATTTCTGCAGTCAAGGAATATAAAAACATTCCAAAAACTATTGCATGGTTAGTGATGGCGCCCATTGTTCCGCGTAAACGTGCTGATGTTACTTCAGCAATATAAACCTAAAAAAAGTATGTTTCAGTCAATAAAAATAGTTATGCAAACTCATGAAAGCTCTGCTTTGATAAACGCATTAATACATTTTAAAAACGCATTGAACGTGACTATTAACATACCCAAATAGCAGGCTTCTTTATATAGATTGACATGGGTTTATGGGTAGGGTGATCAGTATCGAGTTACAAAGGACATTTGTAATGGTAAAAAAAATCGGTACATACATCCTGTTGAGCTTCCGATTAAATGATGATAATCTAAAGGAATATTAACACGGTGGAAAAGGTTTCCTGTAACAAAAATAGTACAAAAAATAATTTATCAACTTGTTGCCCTTAAGCTTGGAATGAGTGAAGGGTATGGGTGTGGTTGACGCAAATTTGGGGCTTATTTTTTCCAACCCTTCAATCATCGCAATCTTTTGCAAAGTATCATTATTTAACATAAGTATAACTTATCAACTTGTTGCCCTCACATTTAGGGTGAGGGTGTAATAAACATTTATTTATTTGTTTCCAGTCTTAAATCCCTATTTGTTTTGTCCTCATTCATAAAATGTTTCATAACTTTTTACAAAAAAATATGAAACATTTTATGAATGAGGACAAAACAAATATGAAACTTTTTTTCTAAAAAAGATTTTAACTAGATTTAAATGATTAAAAGTTTTTTATGCGTCTTCTTAAAATTTTTAAAATAAAGTTTACGATTGGGTATCATTTATAATAAAACGCCTTGCACCCACTGCGCTCAGCTGAGTTCAAAAAATTTGGTTGTAAATTTGTGTCTATATATAAGAGTGTAATTTAAAAGTTGATCACATGTGAGGCCTAGTGCGGTCTAGTGTTCGGCTTGTGTAAAGTCAAGTGTTAAAAAAATGTTGCGCATTTTAAGGGTTTTATTAATGAACGCTTTTAAAAACAGCTAGCATAAAAAATAATTTTCATATTTCTTTTTCTTATTTCAATATATGATATCAATGAACTAATATATACTTTTCAGAAATTAAAATGTTATAAAATAGTCTAGCTGCCCTCATTCTTCATTTTTAAATAATTTTTTACATTTTCAACAATATTTGAGGTACTGTGTTTACCAAACTTAGAATGAGTACCAAAATGAGGTTTGAGCTTCTTATGGAAGTGATAATTTTGGTATTTAGTTGCTAAGGATAACTAAATTTGTATAGCAACAACCTATTTTTGATCTTAGAGATTTTTCATTTGTGCTATATTTACCAAGTGACATGCGTATAAGTATGACATATGTACAAATATGACATGAATACAAATATGACATGCGTACAAATATGACATAAGTACAAATATCAGGTTTAACCTTCTTTAAAAATTTTTATAATTTGTTGCTATGGATACCTAATTTTTTTATAGCAACAACACTCTTCTGGTAGTTAGAGATTACTCAATGGTGCTACGTATACAATATTTGGCATGTGTGAAAGTGAGGTGTTTTTTTTTAAACAAGTGATTTTTTTATAATTAGTAACTAAGGTTACCTAATTCGGCAGAGCAAAATTAGGTAAAAAAAATACAAAACTGTATTCTTTCTAAACTCTGTTCACTGGGGCAGAACCGCATAGACGCACACAAGGCTCAACCGCATACTTTTAATATTCATCATATAAATATAAGTTAGGTAATTACGAATAACGATATTTATAATCGTCACACTTGAAATGCTTTTCAAAGTTTTTAATAGTTACAATTTTTTTTATCATAATAAAAACATCGGAAAACATCGAGGAATACTCAATTTCATCAAAGTTTTATTATTTCTAAAATAATATATTTCAAAGTTTCAAATATTTCTCTTTGTTCTTTTAAATTTTCTAACTGGAACAATTTTTTTGTTATTGTCATAAGCAACTTGCAGTTTTTCAAAAAGTTGAGTAAATTTTTACTTCGATAAGTTTTGTGAATTTCTGTCATGTACTAAAAGAAGTTTAAACCAAGAGTGAATAAGAAGCAATCACTTTTACTTCTATTCACTCTTTGTTTAGAGCAAGCCTTTGTAATTTTAAATAGTTACATATATTTAAAAAAATGTTCATAGTTTAAAAGTTGAACCAAATGTTTTTCTACTTGTATTTTATGTATTTTACTTTTAAACACTTATTCTTAAAGTTGTTTTTTTTTTCATAATTTTTTAATGATATTTAAGGTAGAAGGGGAGGGAGGGGGGAGGGGAATGAATCGTTGATGTAGCTTTATAGAGGTTCTCTGAAAGTTTGATAAGTTGTTGACTAGGAGAAGAGGAGGTATATTTTGCCAGAAAATTTTTGACGTAATTAATGGACAACCTATTTAAGTAAACAAGAAAAATTGAAAGAAAATAAATGAATAACAAAATGTAAACTAAAGAGTATGTGTTTACAAGAGCCGTAGTATATCGGTATATTTTACAACTTTAAAATAATTATTTTAGAACAATACATTAAATGTTAATTTTAAACGCATTATTCAAAGTTTTGCCATGTTTCTTTTAGTGGAATTGTAAGGCAGATTTTATATTCGCAAATGTATTAAAAATCTAAAACAACAACATTGTTTGTCATAGCAATCCTATAGCATCTACAAACATCTCTATTGTTTGTTATATAAAAAATTAAAAAAAAAAATAAAATTTGCAAGTAATTATTTTTTTAAAAACGTTTTTTTAAGTTAATTTGTCCTGTATTTTGTCTTACATTGCCTTCTTTGCTTTTAGTTGTTAGTTACTTATTCTTTTTAAAGAAATTAAAAAAGCAAAAAATGTTTTTTTGTTCTTGTTTTAATTTTTAAAACAAAACATTTATTCAATAAGAAGAAATCGTGTTTGGAGATTTTGGTAAAATATAAAAAGCTGAACTTACAAATGTTCAAAATAACAATTTACTAATAGTATTTTATTTATTTTTGTATTAAGTAAATTGTTATTTTGATCTTTTGTAAGTTCAGCTTTTTATATTTTATCAAAATCTCCAAACACGATTTCTTCTTATTGAATAAATGTTTTGAATTGAAATTTAAAAAACAAGTTTCTTACGAGATTAATTACTTGACAAATTGATTTTATTTAGTTGATTTTTAAAAATTGTTATTAGTAGTTTTAACTTGTAAAAATTGTCTGTATATAATATAGCTTTTGACATTAAAAAAAGGTCATATCTTTGCTTATAAATAAGTTTTTAAATTATAATTATTAAAATCTATTTGCCAAATCAGTAAGATAATGTCATTAAAAAAACGACAAAGTTTAATTCATAATACCTAAATTTAAATGCAATTGTTTTAAAAACATAAAAAATAAGTGTTTTCTTTAAAGGTGAGTTTCCACTCGTCCGTTTTTTCACGGGAACGGGATAGAAAAGGGAAAAAATAATCACATGAGCATGCGTAGTTTTTCTTTGGACATATTAAAACTTATCCTACGCATGCCCACGTGATAATTTTTACCGTCCCTTTCCCGTTCCCGTGAAAAAACGGATGAGTGGAAACTCGCCTTTATAATGTAATAACATTGTTATAAAAAATACGTAATTTTTATAATTTTAACCATAAAGGATTTTTAAAAAAAGTTTTGGCAAAATAATTTTTTTTAAAACATTTTTCTTCTTTAGTGATATATTTTCTACACTTTTTTATAATATTTTTTTAAAAACTCTCTGTTTTTTGATCTTCCATTATTTAAAAATGTAATGCATTTTAGTTGAGCTGCAAGAAGCAGTGAGTGCTTTTAATCAACAAACACGCCATAAAAGACCATCATCAGGAATGCCGCAGCTGGCATTTTGAAAATAATTTATTGTTTGATTTTTCTACTAAATGCCAGCAGAGGCTAGGATGCGTTGGATCGTTTTTTATTTTTTACAGAATGCAGAATTCGATAACGCAGAATCACGTTCCAACGTCTGTTTGCCTAAACTTTGGTTCACTCACGAACTTTAACAATATATTCAGTTCAGACGCATTTTATATTTAATATAAAATTAGGTATTTCAACATCGTATAGGGTAATATCCGTAATAAAAACAAGGCTAAAGAAAAAAGAACTGACGTTTTTTTGTCAACAAAATAGTTTGAGGTGCATGTTCTTCCATTGTTCAACTGATTTTTGAAAATACAATGAATATTTTTGTTTGTTGCAATAAAGTAGAACCACAATAACAATACTACCAAAAGTATTTTAATTTAATTTTTATGGAAAAATTACAGTAAAAATTAATGTCTTTTTTAACAACAATTACGCGACAATAAATAATCATCTGGAAATCAAAGCAATTTAAATTATGCGGAAGCACATTAAGTTTTGTCATTTTTTAAAAAGATCACTATAATAAGGACTAGAAAGTTTTTTAACTGGTGGTACCACAAGAAATAAAAATCAATCAAAAAAAAAAAAAAAAAGAAAAGAAGGAAAAAAATTTAAAATTTGGTTCAATAATCTTTTGTTCACAGAATACAAAATCTTTTAATGTAAAATTTTAACTTTGAGTAACAATAATTTAGGTTTGTAAATACTTGGGTAATCAAGTAGTTTGTAATGTCAATAATAACGTCATAGCAACCAATATATAAACAAAAATGTTTCCAATGTATAAGTGCAAAAATCTATATATTTTAAATATTAAAAAATATATGAGTTTTAAGCCGACCTTGTTTATTTTTTTGGTCATAAGTTGAATGATGATTCGAGTTCCTAATATATATTCAAATTGTTACAAAGGTTGTTTAAAGCATTATTTCTAGTTTCTAGTATTTTGGAACTTTGCAAGTTATACTATTTACTGTTTGTACTATTTTAAAAGCATAATGCCTAAAGGTAACAAGCAGAATTTTGTTAAAAAAAAGAAAAAAACTAATGTTCACCTACTTAATTGTTGTAAAAATGACTAACAAACTTCTATTTAACACAACATCAAAAACTACAATAGCAGAGTAGCCTCCAACAACAATTTTCTTTCGAAAAAAATGATCTTAATGACACTGAAAGCTGCTTCATTTGG